AGCAGTAAGTTCAAGAACTCACCCCATCTCCTCCATCGCTCCCCCCTCCCCCCTAACCCCCTTGTGTCAAAGCAAAGTCTGCCCAGGTCACAAGATAACGCTCAGATTTGGGGGGTAAACATACGATACCGGACACACTTTTGACTGCAAACTTTAAACCAGTGCTGATAAGGCTTTCGTCCCGGCCTGAAGTTGAACGCCGCTACCTAAAGACTGCCCCACTGTTTGATGGTCTTTGACATGAAAATTTGCCAATTTAGTTCAGCCTTTGGCTACACGACTTGAAGATTTGATCCCACTGTGTGATAGTCTTTGACATCAACATTCGCCAATTTAGTTCAGCCTTTGGCTACACGACTTGAAGATTTGAACCAGGCAGCGACAGTCGAGGATAAAGCATTCGAACAGTATTCAGCTTGAAGATTACACTTGGAAACAACCGCATAGGCCTAACAAACTCAGAAAACTAACATTTTGCCGAACATACAAAGTCTCTTATGCGTACGAATGTATAATAATATGCAAAATGGAGTATATATATATATATATATATATATATATATATATATATATATATATATATATATATATATATATATATATATATATATGTTACGGTCAAAGCCCGAAGTGCGGCCAAACCCCGGATTGGCCGGCCAATGCGCGGATTGGCCGGCTCTCTTGGCCAAAGCCCGAAGAACTTAGAACTAAGATCGTATTTCGTACATTGGCCGGCCAATGCGCGCACTGGCCGGGACGTACTGGCCAAAGTCCGAAGCGCTTAAACTTGACAGCGTATTTTGTACATTGGCCGGCCAATGCGCGCATTGGCCGGGATGTCCTGGCCAATGTTGTATCTAGACTAAGTTGTGATCGCGTTTTAATTATTCTGGGTGCGGTTTCATTGTGAGTAACGTATTGTTTAGCTCTTGTTTGTATAGCATTCTATATGCAAGGCGACATGAATCAAAAGGGCCGTCAGACCAAGAGACAGACATAGCAGATGGCTGTCAAAAGAAAAAAAAATGTAAATCCATGTTAGTTTCAATATATGGGCTACAACTGTATGTGACAGCCTCCTCCATGATGACGAGGTGAGACAATCATCAAAGAACAAAAGACAGTCGGCGTCACCGACCACGTGCAACAAGACGGAACGTTCAAAAGACTTTTCCGCGTTCCTAGATGTTCAAAACATGATGATGACATGGATGCAAACAAATGAATCAGCTCATTGGGCTGAGAGTCTCAAATTCATTCAATTTATGAAAAATCGTTCTTTTCATCAAGGAATCCAACAATCACCATACGAAGCCTTGTTTGGATGCAAAGCAAAAGTGGGACTTAGCACTTCAAATCTACCAAGAGAGGCTCTCAATAAAATAGCTACTGAGGAAGATCTTGAGAACATTGAACAAGAAATAGAGGTTGCCATAAATGCAACTACATCCTCAGCTCACACATCTACTGCCTTGGCGGAACGTCCAGACCAGTTGCGTGACAATAATGTGGCTAACAGATTCTGTATAGTTTGTGAAAAACATTGTAGTGCAGCTCATTCTTGTGGATCATGTGGCAAAGATGTCCATGCTATTTGTGGAGTACCCAATGAAGAAGACGAAGGTTACGGAGGGAACATTACCTGCAGATTGTGTCACAACAAACAAGACGTCATGGAACACAGGTCAGCAGCTCATACTGGCTTGCAAAATCAAGGTGCTAAGATGCTTAAAACATCAAATACAAAATTTAAAGATGGTGAAGTGGGTGACAATGTACGCATCCGTGTTCCAGATGTTGACAGAGGTCGCGGTGATCCCCGAAGCGTGATTGCAGTTGTCATGAGCGTCGAGGGCGGTTTCTACAAATTAGGAACCGAACATGGTGTTCTAAAACAACTGTATGCTAGAAGTGAGTTTTCAATTCTTCACGAAAAACTGCTCTTATTGTCGTCAGTTGGCACTGAGGAAAAATCACTACGAACCATCGCATCTTCATCGCATCTTCACAATCATTGACTGGGGGCCAAGGCTACAATCGCTGCAATTGCACAACCAAGTGTACAACAAATCGCTGCAAGTGTAAAAATAACAAGCTGCTATGTAATTCTAAATGCCATAAAAGTTCAACTTGTTGTAACAAATGATAATATTGATTGATTGAGACTATAGTACAATAAAAAATTTGAATGTTTCTGTCATTTACTTTAATTAATAATCAATAAAGACTTAATTTTATGATTCTACCGGCATAAAAAAAACAAAATCTGCTCATGATCTTCTAATTAAGACTTTGGCCGGTCCACCATGGCCAGTCCGCGGACTGGCCGGGACTGGCCGGCCAAAGGCCGAAATCAAGAGCTATTTCAGACTTTGGCCGGTCCACAATGGCCAGTCTGCGGATTGGCCGGCCAAAGGCCGAAATGAAGCAAAGTTTCGGACTTTGGCCGACCTATGGGAGGCGATATTGGCCAATGCGCGGATTGGCCGGCCAATCCTAGCATTGGCCGACTTCGGGCTTTGACCGTAACATATATATATATATATATATATATATGCACGCACTCACGCACACACATGTATATTCATCAAATAGTATGTCATACGTAATTAAGATAACGGATTGCTAATTAATTAAATCTATGTCACATAACATAGCTTTTTTTGGTCTTTGAGAAAGTAATTTGCAAGCGTTATGTATAAAGTAATAATATTACTTTATACATAAAGTAATATATAAAGTAATATATATATATATATATATATATATATATATATATATCAAAAAAATTTTTTCCCTCTAGCCACAAAATTTTTATTCGTTATCAACATTAAGGGTTTGTTTTCCCTTAAATTCAGCAAAAGGAACATGTGCCACTAGGGTGTACAGTCTGTGATTTGAATCCTCATCTTCATTGCGCATGCGTGCAAGACGAACACGTAACCTGTGAGGAACATGTCTAATGCCCTGGGACCAGATGTGCTTGTTCAGACGAATATCAATTCTAACATCAGGGGTACCCATCAATTTCTCAGCAAACTTGCGGATCTCCTTGATAGCTCTCAACAATTCAAACGAAGATAATGAGAAATAAATTTTTTAAAATTTTTTTTTAAATACTTTTATTTGCAATTAAAACAAGTACATCAACATCAAATTTTTTAACATAATTTTGAACACCAAATGAAAACGAAAGGTTTTGCAAATGTACATAATGAATATTTACATGATGTCATGTATTTGATTATAAAAAAATTGCAAAGGATGACAGTAAAAGGGGTGAAGGTCAAATGAAAGTGTCAGAAGTCTGGGTGGGGAGAGGAAAGGAAATTTTTCAGAGAGGGTCAATGGGACAGTGAAGCATTTTCTATGTAGGGAAACAACTTAAGTTGACTAGTTGAAAGGGTGTTGTAGTGGTCGCATTGAGTTTTCAAAAGGTTGCAGTGTGAAAGATGAGGGGAAAGAGACAAGATTTAGAACTTTAAATAAGTTCTGGATATTGATGTTGCGGTGGGTGGTGGGGTCGTTGGAACAGTTAAAGGGATTGTGGGGTTATCATGTCTGAGGGTAAAGTGGATAGAGGGGGAGAGAGGAGGGGGTAGATTTTTTTATTTTTTTATTTTTATTAATTTAATTGTTTTAAACATTTAAATCAGTAATAATAATATATTTGATAGATTTTACATAGCATCAAAGACATGAACAATGAACATCAATTGCATATATAATAATCAAAGGGAAAAATAAAATGGCATAAGAACTAGATTAAAATAAGGTGTGCAAACTAGGTTTCTCTTCACTGCTTAGTTTAGTGTGCTGCGGAGTCAAAAGTTCACACTGTAGTCACCCATGGACAGAAATAGAAACGACCGTGGGAGAAGTGTCTCTGTAATCACGTACTGATCTATCATTCCAAAACTTCCCATGACATAAAATTGACCCTTGGCAATGAGGGCACGCTACCTTGAAATGTCCGCCAGTCCGGTTGAGTGGGGGGGGGGGGGGGGGGAAGTGTATGTGTGTGTTGGGGGGGGGGGTTGAGGTGGGTATCTCTTTCTACCATTCAGGTTGTGCATTTTAAAACCCGGGAAACAGAAGACTGTTCTAATGTTAATTTACTTGGGGACTGATCGAGTGATGTTTGGCTTGAGACTGTCTAAATTAAAATTAATACTTTATTTATTTCTTTCCTGTATATTTTTTTTTCTCTCAGTTAAGTGAGAGTTCCCATCATGAGAAATAAAGAAGTGCAAAAAATATGTGGTAGAACAATCATTGGATTAAAATAGTGAATTTGGAATTTCATATCACTTACATTTGGATTACAGCTAATGGTTTTCTATTTACATTTCAGTAAATTTATTAATTGTAAATGTAAAAACAATATAGTTTAAACATAGCATCGTACGGGATTTCTAATACTCTTGGTTTATGTGATAATGAACAAACATACCCTTTTATATTAAGTTACTATTGATTTATTATGAATTTTAGGAAAATAAACTTCGATTATTTCCCCTTGTTATTTTGAATTTAATATTGGAAGAAGTGTCAACGTAAAGATTCTATTTCACATGTAAGGGGGGGGGGGTGGAAGCAGGCGAAATAGCAATATAAACCCTTGGCGTTGAAATATCACTTTTCTGTTTATATTGCTATTTCTATTTTACAACAGCTTTTTTTTTAGCAGTATGTCAACTTATTTTAGTATAAGCAGAGGCGTAGCGAGGGGGGGGGGGGAGGCATGTGACATTATTCTTCTCTTCAAAATCAAATCTATCACTTAGCATTTTAAAAAAGAGTAAATAAAATACAACTTTGACAATTTTCGCCAGTGAAATTTTAAATTCTAAATGCTTGAGCAGTCTTCTAAAACACAAAGATATTAAACAAACAAAAAATATGCAGAATGTGTCATTGGTATTAAAATGGTAATCTAGATTTAACTCTCTTTGGTCACATGATTAACATAACTTCAGCGCATGCGCTCGGCTGTCATTGTTACTTCTGCTACCAAGCGTCGAAAATGGCGGAGTCGTTGAGACGACTTGTAAATATTGGCACTTTTTCTATTCTCCAGGAAAAGTTGGAAAAATGGTCGAGTGATTACTACGTAAGTAATCAAATAAATAAACAATATTTTTTTGCTAAGTTATGCACATAATGTAATATTTATATTCTTATATTTTGCTAAGCGATTGAAAAGCCTGGTTGCTAAGGAGGGAAAGTTAGGAGCCAGTTTGGCTTTAGCGGCTTTGACACGTTCGAAAATATTAAGTCTAAAACATAAAACTTTTTTATAAATTATAAAAATTAAGGATACATTACAATATGTATTAAATAATGTAATTGATATAGATTTTTGTGGTTTTACAACAATATCCTATCAAAACTGTAGCAGATAATTTAAAATGCCGCCGAAATGAAAACTCGTCCAAACTCATTATTCATATTAGGCCTGTTCATAATCATTACATTTTTAACTCAAGCCAAATTGTAAAAAAAAAATTAAAGTGTCGGCTATTGACCAGTTAAAATTTACTGAACAGTCTGTGCGTTTAATCATTCCCCGTTATAATTAGGCCCTATTATTACTGATCTAAGGCTAAATTTATTTTATGAAAATGGAAACTGTCTTCTTAATTCATAGTATTTAATTATTTTTTAAGTTTTATGGATCATGCAAGATGTATTAATTATTATAACCTACAACATTGGTGGTGGGCGGTTTAACAAGACAATTAGTTATATTTTTATTAGTGAAGTAGGTGACCAAGAGCCTTGTTATCAAAAACTGTATTAAATAAATAACTTTCTATACTATGCTTTGATGCTACAATGGACATCAACGAGTTGACAAAAATCCTACCATCATTATTGTTGATATGGATAAAAATCATTTTTTTGTCATTTGTGTCTTCATAGCACCCATAAAAAATAAAACTTAAACTTGAAAAAATTCAGAAACTTAATATTAAAAAAATCAATGATATAAAAGTTGCAAACGCAGAGAGCTTGAATAATTTTTTATGTATTGAAGGCATTTTTATCAAGCCTAGATTATAACCTGCAGTTTGACTTACATAATCAAGCATCGATTGGCAGGGTCTTCCCCAATTTTATAGTAATTTTTACTTAAAAGTTTGCCAATAAAATAATTTTTTTTTTTTACTTTTTGAAACCACATGTCGTAGTTATGCTTTGTTTACATGTACATCTCCTGTGATAAAATCAAATTAACCAAATTGTTTTTGCCGTTTTAAAAAAAAAGTGTTTTGTTACCAAAAATTCTAATTTGTACCAGCAAATACATCCAATCTATACTAATGCCCTACAAATACTAGACAGTTATTAATTTAAATAACATCATAACTATTGTGAGCTCTACTGTCCAATCATGCAATCTCACTTTAATACTATACTTAATATTATTTAGATCTTAAATAATTTAGTTAACATTTCTATTTTATTGTGCAGAGTCCTATGTTTGATATGTTTGGGCCTAAGTGCAATAATTAAAAAAAGACACATAAAACAATCAGTGAAGTGCCCTATTGAACCTGATGGTCCATGGTGCAGCTGAAGTAGAGTTCACCTGTTTCAAATCTCTCGGCATGAAGGGATAGTGCAGTCAGCACTATGCCCAGTCACTTTTACTTTCCCTAATGTAAGTAAGGTAACCATCTGAGTTAGTTGGACTTAGGGACACTTTACAGATGTGAGAATGTGATTCGAAGTTGAAACAATCACGGACACGAACCCGGGATTCGAACTCGAAACGATTGTGTTAGCTATTGTATGCTCTACCATCAAACTGCGCCTTCCCATAAAATAGGACCCATATATAAGAGCTATATCCTTGAACCCTGCCCTTAATCTATCCTTAACTCTGACCCACAGCTGTAGTGGATTAATAAAAACTTAACACAATATTGCCTGCAGTATCAGAATTTTTACATGATCCCTTAATTGTAGAAGGGATCAGAAAGAAATTGAGTAGTACATAGTCTATATACTTTTTAAAATGTCCTGCTTTTACTCTGGTGTTCTCTGTTTAATATGTACATGTTATCAGTATCATTTTTACATTTAGTCTATATAATTATTTAATATCGTTCTTTTATGATGGTGGTCTCTGTTTAATATTTACATTTCATCATTATCATTTCAACATTTCTTTTGCTGCCTTAATAACTTTTTATATTTCAAAACAAATCAAACAAAAGTTATCAATCTTACTTCAAAGAACATTTTCAAACTTATGTATGGGCCTACACCACTGTAGCCTGTGCATACAGAAGCTATGTTTAGAGAGTGTGATGGAATGAATGGTATTGCTTATGGCTGTCAATTACAACAATTCCACTTCCTGTTGTGTTGTCTTGTGTTTAAAACAGTAAGTCGTAGTCCACTCAGCTTTGATGGGTACCTGACTTGAATCAGGGAAATTAAAGTTAGTTGGGTTAGTGATAATAATACAATAAGTTATACTCAGGTAAAAAACATATGAACTCCACTTTATCTTCCCATTTAAACTCAATGGGCTATACATGTACAAGCCAAAAACAAGACTAAAAAAATAATATAAAAAACTCAAATGTTCAGTTGTTAAATTAGCCTGAATTCTTAATTCATTACAATTAACTCATCTAATTTTATCTACTACATAGCCATAAAAAAAATCATTACATTTTTTCTGCTCTAGTACATCCATAGTTGTTTTAAAGTGCTAGCTCATCCATTATGTTTACATGCTAAAATCACAATTCAATATTATACCTTGACTACCTGCTCTCACCTACAATTAGATCTAAATAATCAGCCAACACAGGAGATCAATAGCATTTAGGTTAAGTAATATGACACATGTTTTCCATCATAACACAAGAAACAGGTTAAGTAATGACAAATATTTTCCATCATAACACATGAAACAGGTTAAGTAATACAAGTGTGTGCATGCATACATTTTTAATCAAACGTAGAATAACAAATCACTGTTAAATGTATGAAATATTAAAAATGTGAGTACATTTAGGAAATTACTTTTGTAGAATAAATAAATTATAACAATTTTAACCAAACACATTTCTCCTTAAAAGGTAATAACATTGAATCTGTTATAAAATAGTAATAACCCATATAGCAATTATCCACACATTTTTAATATTTAAATATAACGTTTTATTTTTTAAAATGAAATATGAAACTCATTTTGCAATGACTTTTGACTGGTTTATAAAATGAAACAGTCTTACAAAAAAAATAATATAGGTTATAAATATAGACCTATGTGTATCTTTAAGCTCATTAAAAATCTTTGAGGTGTTGGTTTACATACAGGCTGTTGTTACATGAGTTGATTTTTTTTTGTGGAAACTGAAACTTTTGAACGACAATAGAAGGTGGTGTTTGGTTTCAAATGAAACAAAGTAATTATTCTAAACTAGAAATAAACATATTTAAAATTATTTTTTTTTAGACTATATTTCTTTAAGTTAATCTGACCAAAAAAAAAAATTTGATGCTGCAAAGGAGAATTTTTAGTAAAAAAAAAAAGGTAAAAAAAAAATCCACAGAGACCAGCTATACCAGGTCAATGGACGGGTGGGGGAGTTTGACAGGTATTCTTGCATTATTGATTTTCACTTACTGTCCAAATTTTAATAATCAATTGGAGTGTGGGGGAGGGGAGGAGTACAGTTCCTACTATAAATGGGGGGGGGGGGGGGTCATGGTCTGTCATTTAGAACTAAAACACTATCACGGGTTGCTGGGATAAAATAAAAGGCGAGACAAATCAAATATTGATTGCCTGTCTCGCTTTAGGCTGTCAACTTGTTTTATGCGTTTAACAATAATGAGAAGACACATTCTGGGGAGTGAGCTCGATTTTTGTGTGCCCGGGGGCGAACTCTCGATTTTCCCACCCCATAAGTGCATACATTATGCTCCCCGCCTACTCCTCCCCCTGGGCATTCCTGTAAAATTTAACATTCTTTATTAGCATTTAAAAAGATAAGCTTTTTATAGAGAAAGGTAATAAAAGCAAGTCATTATTTTTAAAAGTTCGGAAGGTTATGGGATAACTTGATCTTAGTGTAGTATTTTCATTAAATATTTAGATCACAATTGTAATGCAGATGATAAAATAATATTAGCTTATATTTGTTAAAAGGGTTCCTTGAAAATGTGAAAGCGATGGAAAAAAAAAAACTTTCTTTTATCAGAGAAATCGACATAGTGCATAATATCCTACTGGTCGCGTGTCTTTTTTTTTCTTGTCAGATTTTCTGTAATGACGTATGCAGCATTTCAGCACTGAGTTATTTCCCTGTAAAAATATTCACATCTGAAATCAATAGCTTTTAATGGGTCCCATCCCCTCGAAAGATCAATGCCCATCTCTTTGAATGTTTTACAAATTGAGACATATAGGAAGAGCTATTGGGTCCGGTCTGATTCTTGTTGTCCCAGATAAATGGATTTAGCATGACAGTTTGAAAAAGCATAATGCATTGCATTTATCTAAAAAAAAAATCCGATATAGGTATTTTTTAATTCGTTTTTTCTTCTTCTAAATGCGGATAATTAAAAAAAAAATTAGAACACTTTCGTAATAAATCTTACATAATATATTTTAATTTACTAGACTTGATGCATAGTTCCTTTCAATGGTAGAAATTGTCTAGATCGTAAACAAACATAATGGTATCTATTTATGGTTACTAAAAGTTGATCTGTCCAGCTATTCATGTCATGTTCCAACTCGACAAGGATATTAAAACAGGCAGTTAATGCCTGAAATGATTTGGTCTTTAAGAAGTTAGTGGCTTACGTTCATTGTTGTAAAGAAATATACGTCATGTAACTACTTTAAAATGTTATTTTCCGCGTGATATTGATCGGATTTTTTACTCACCCCCTCCTGCAATAGCTACGCCACTGTTCATTAATTGGAGTTAGCATCGATCTTACTATTTCATGACTACTTCTGAAACCCCTGAGGCTATATTTTTGCAGTATTGTGCATTAATCTTTTTTTTTATTACCTCATTAATAATCAACGGAATCATGCAATAAAGTTACAACGTACCTTAAAAAGAAAGAAAA